GTTGTTTGGCGGGCGCCGCCTCTTTAGGTGCCGTCTGTCTGGCGGGATCTGCCTGCGGCTTTGTTGCCTTGGGCCGCTTGCCCCGTCGAACCACCGTCGACCACCCCTCCGACATATTGCTTGTCGACGGTAAGGGAGCAGCGTCTGCACCCGTCTCAGTGGCTTTGGCCGGCTGTCTAGGCGGGCCTTTCCTCTTCGGATCCTCCTCGACATCCCGATTTGTGGGTGGCTGTGAGGCACTCTTGCGATTTTTCCGCTTACGCGGCGGCTTGGGTCCTCCGACCTGGCCCAGCCGTTCCTCGATGATGGCAAACCGGGCACTGAATATGTCACCGATTTGCCGAACAATCCTTGCCTCCATTCCCTCTTCTTCTGAAGGGACCGCACCCGGCTGTAAAGGGGCCGGGGCGGCAGGCGCTCTCTCCGCGGCCGCAGACGCTGAGGGTGGCTGTGTAGCCTTCTTGGCCTCCTCCAGCTCTTGCCTCAGACGACGAAGCTCGCGACGGTCCGCAACGTACTGCTCCGCAAGCTCTGCATTTTCCTTGCGCACTAGCTCTAGTTCGCGCTGGAGCTCACTGTAGGCCGAGGTGTTGGCCGACTGGTCGCCGCCCGATGACGAAAGTGCCATCCGCAACGCCTTCATCTCTTTGCGATCCTTGATCGCCTCCTCGAGCATGCCGTCCATTCTGACGCGCTGGTTCGCCATCTCCGTGGCCAGCCGAGCATTCTCCTTCCGGAGTTCGACGTACTCGGCTGAGGTGCCCCTCTCGAGCATCTTCTCAGTCACGATGCGGATCCCGGTCAGGGAGGACTTAATCTCTTTAATTATGGTTCCTTTTATGTTACCGCATTTCCGCACCGTTTCCGATATGTGGCTCACGTAGCCGTCCATCTCTGCCTCCAAGGGGTCGGTGAACTGACCCCCGGGCTGAGGGGGTTTCTTGAACTCCGAATGCACCGACATCCTGGAGGAGCCCGCCACTGCAGGGGCAACCTCACGTTCCAAATTCCGATTTTTGGCGGCAGCCAAGTCGGCTTTCGCCTTCGCCAATCCGGTGCCACGACCTTTTCCACTGGACGCCGAGAGAAGAGTCTTCTCCAGCTCGGACGTATTCGGGGGCACCGTGTTTCCGCCCTCGTATAACGAAACGCAGAATTGACTGCGCCGATTTGCACTCTTAGCTGATTTTTTAGCCGCGCTCGCCTTTTTGGCGGCCGACTGCGTGTCACATCCAGATCCTGTAGCCGACCCATCGTCGGTTTCGGATATTCGTCTCTTGCGCCTAGAACGGGGGCGCTCGAGTAGCCCACTCTCATCTCCACTGAAAAGACTTGCCATCGAGGTCGACCGCGATAACATGCTGTCGATCTCGCCGGCAAGACTGGCCAGTTCCTCATCCGTCGCCGGATCCACCTCCAGACTCCGACTGGCCCTGACTGGCACGACTGTAGTCGCCAGTCCCGCCTCCATTACTACCTCCTCCATTACAACATCTCCTACTCCACTCTGGCCTTCCGTTGCCCCCCCAGATACACGGGGCTGACCACCCCCGGCTGAACCGGTGCGGTGGTGGCGGATTCTCCGTCTCCCGACGGTACCGCCCTGGGGAATTCAGTTTTGCGACTGGCCATTCTCATGTTTTCCTTTTTTAACGGGGAAGGTCCCGTGAAAGGCGAAAGGAAATTGAAAATGAAAAATGATAGAAAAAACAAAACGACAGAAAGAAAACAGAAGATAGAAAAGACGACAGTAAAGACTCAAAACAAAAATAAAACAAACAAAACAAAAACGAAGAATAACAAAAGGAAGACGAAACAAAACGAAGAGCGAGTCAGGCAAGTCCGCAACACAAATAGTGCGTCACGAACTCGTCCCACCCGCGGCGTCGGAAGATTAGCCGTCAGTAAGTGAGATCTCTAAATAGCGAGAAGTCACTTACCGCCGTTGCCCAGGATGCACCAGGCCCCAGCCATTGTCAGCCACCGTTCCCGCCGGACGTATCCGCACCAGGACAAGTGACCGTACAATGAGCCAGGGCACTCTTGGAGGTTTTCCGACCCAGCACCCCAACCTAACCTAACCTAACCTAACCTAACCTAACCTAACCTAACCTAACCTAACCTAACCTAACCTAACCTAACCTAACCTAACCTAACCTAACCTAACCTAACCTAACCTAACCTAACCTAACCTAACCTAACCTAACCTAACCTAACCTAACCTAACCTAACCTAACCTAACCTAACCTGGCCTGGCCTGGCCTGGCCTGGCCTGGCCTAACCTAACCTGGCCTGGCCTGGCCTAACCTAACCTGGCCTGGCCTGGCCTGGCCTGGCCTGGCCTGGCCTGGCCTGGCCTGGCCTGGCCTGGCCTGGCCTGGCCTGGCCTGGCCTGGCCCTGGCCTGGCCTGGCCTGGCCTGGCCTGGCCTGGCCTGGCCTGGCCTGGCCTGGCCTGGCCTGGCCTGGCCTGGCCTGGCCTGGCCTGGCCTGGCCTGGCCT